GATTTTGACGAAACTTGGTGAAATTGCCCATGGATAAACCATTGAAAATCAAAATTCGTGTCTGATTTTGACAAAACTTGGTAATATTATTCAGTATCGCCCCAAAAAGTTCAAAAGAAATGTATGACTGAAGGTTGATTGTTACTGTACTGCCAAATATTTTTATTCAAAATCAAAGCTGACAGTGGGCGTATATTACCTTTCCTGGAGAGCTATCTTAAAATCTTTCATTTCGTGTTGGGTAATTTTTTTTGTTATATTTCCATACAAAACTGTACTTATAAACTAGTACTGAACTATAGAGGTAAATTATAACACAATATTTTATTAGATATATTTTATATTCATATAGATAGAAATACACAATATTATTCAAGTCAGACAGCTTATGAAATACAAAGACAATCACCATACAAAAATTATTACAATGTTCCTTAGTCATTCTGATACTATTATTCTCATGTTCATTTACCACTCTAACCGCAGCTGTTCATTCACCAGTCTAGCCACAGATGTTTTTACACCACTCTAACCTCAAATGGTCTTTTACCACTCTAAATGTTCTTTCATAAGTCTAGCCTAAACTTACAGGCCAGGTCTTGTTCATGGGACAATAAACCGAGGCCTCGTGTTTTACAAGCTGTGCACGTTAAAGATCCCAAACGAGTTGAAAATCCAAAAAGAGCATGTTTATGCCACTGTCCTAGCAAAATTTCTCCCATTGAACTCTGTCTTTATTAGCATATGGTGCAGAAAAGTAGGACGTAAAAACCCCTTTTCATTTTTTAATCTAAAACGACTCGCCAAAATACATCCACTCAAATCATCCATCACTACAATAGATCACCCAAACGCAGATTACCTCCACGAGTTGCACGTGCATGATATGAATAAAAGGGAAATATTATTAGAAAACGAATCATTGCCATTACTAATAAAGAGAAGACTGTCTATAGGTACTATATCTACAGGTAAATATACATTATATTCATTGTCTTTTGAAAGATTTGAAAAAATGACTGACCAAAAATTGATGAAAAAGTGGCGTTGTGCTTCTCAGCAAATCTTCCCATTTAATTTGTAAATACACCCTCACCTGTACTCGCCTCTTTAACCTAACTGTAGCTGTACGTGTATTATAAATTATGAATCCATGTATTTATTGAAGACCTGGTCTTATAGATTAATGTTGCGGTCTATGTCTCTCAGTCTTAATATTTCTATAATCCTTTATTGTATAAGGTTTCCAACATGAAGATTTGCTTGACATTGGTAGTCTTAATGGCAGTATTTGTTACTTCAGATGCCTGGTGGTTTGGTAAACGAGGTACGTTATGCTAAATTTAAATTTAAAAAACAACGTGATTTGCAGCGACAAATCAGTCTAAACCTTTTGTTACTGCAAAAAAAAAAAATCTCAGCTTTTGATATCCGATGGTTTTATACAATAATAATGGATTAGCTAGAATTTCTGATTGGATTCTAACCATATTCTCTTCTAGACTTGAACGGAGATGCACCACCATCAGCAGTAAAAGCTGCTTTAATCTCTTTATGTTCACAATATGGTGACAATACCAGTTCAGATCCAATGGCTCAAGATGTTAGAAATGTCTGCCAAGCCTTAAAAGAAGCATCAAATAATAGAAGTACGTATACGCCAACATTTCTAGGTTTATGATGGTTTCTTAAGTATGATATTGATCTATAGTGACGGGTGGGGGGGATGCTACATCAAATCTATTTATGTATTCTAGACATTCCCAGCAGATGTCAAGAGGTATGGCTATCTGACTCTTATAGAATACATGTATTTTCTGTTTACAATAACTAGGTTCCAATACATATTATAGAGCAATTTAACCTTGCTCATATCAAACCTCTTCTATTAATTTATATTTACAACATAAATAGCTAATTATAATATTTAAATGTTTTTATCTTTCAGGACGATCTTATCCTGACCATCCTTAGTCTACGAGATTAATGTCTAGTTTAATGGCAATAAAATAATTAAACCTTTTCTACTTTTTTTTTCATTTTAAAACATAAACTCAAGCCACTAAATCTGTCCTACATAGCCCCGTTCAAAGGTCATTAAATATCTGAAACAGTTCGATATCACTGTCCCGTTCATCTCGTACTAAACTTTGCCTGTTTAGGATCTCCAAACTTGTTCAGTAAGAATGGAGCTGGGAATGTCTACTGTGGGGGCTGTGCTGACTAGAATGTATATTGTTAGAATATATTTTGTCCAGCTAACAAAACAGGTGTGGTCTTTAGTGAATGATAGTTAAACTTTGTCTTCTCTTCAGTAAAGCGTATTGAGTAATGTTCCTCGCCTAGTGTACGATGATACTTTGATTAAATCATATAAAAAATGACTGATTTCCAGATGCTTACATGATATACTTCGAGGGTGTGGACTGAGGATTAAACTGAATTGGTTCGTTAAAGGAGCACCTTCACTATCGACCAAGCATACCTTAGTGTCGGAAACAATCAGCTTACAATCAGTAATAGTGTTCATAATCCATGTGTATTCATAATTATTCACATTTGAAAGTTAAAAATTCGACTCGAATTTTAGTGAGCGCTATGCCATATATAAACTGACAGGCAAAAGAAAGTTTTCGCCGACTTCATTTGGCCACACGACAAAGGCATACCCGGTATGTGAGATATATGATGATTGATATATATATATATATATATATATATAAACAGAAATCAATTTCCTTGAATTAGAATGAAAATGCATTGTAATACCGATATTCAATTGTCCACAATACACAAGGGAAGAGTCAAGGGGTCAAAATTAAAAATTACACAAAGCAAAGTTCATTGCAAAAGTGCATAAAAAGATTATTCCATGACAGTAGTCAGGCAAAAAGTCATTAATAACGAGTTTGGCCACCGTGGGCAAACATGCACGCAAACACACGCCTCCTCATTGACGTCGTCAGGCGGCGGATAACGTCAACAGGAATCCTGTTCCACCCCATACGATGACGCCTCCATCTCCAAACGGGTGAACTTCTGTGATGCAGTTTGGTGCCAGTCGCCCTCCCTTTCGTCGAAAAACTCGAACCTTGCCATCGTTCCTGAACAGACAGAACCGACTTTCATCTGTAAAGAGCACCCTCGCCCAGCCACATCGCTGCCACCGGCGTACAGTTCGTGCCCATTGTAGTCTGTGTTGACGATGTAGGCGGGTCAACGCCATTCCACGGAAGGGTCGATAGGCTCGTATACCAACTGAACGAAGTCTTCGAAGGACTGTTCAGCTGCTGCTGGCATGACCTAGTGCTGTTGCTGCCGTCGACGCCGCCGTCACCCATCTGTTTCGAAGATGAATCCTCTGGATGTAGCGGTCGTCGGCCGGTGTTGTCAACCTCGGTCTTCACGATCTTTGTCAGTCTGGGATCTGTCCTGTCTGTTGGGGCCGGAATATCAAAATGGTGCTCTGGGAGCAGTTGAAGGTTCTAGCTATCTGTCGTTAAGAAACCCCCATATTGAACATACCGCTCGCTCTATCTCGTTGTGCTTGTGCAAGTCTTGGCATACTTTTGGTGGTTTTTCCCTTACTGAATGTCTGTTCTGTCCAATTTCGGTATTTATAGATTTGTAGATTTGGAGAGCTGTGTTCGATAATCTGCATCGTGGTCATGGTAACGTTGCATTAATGCAAATGTTTGCTGCTAGGGTTCAAACCTGTACCAGCTTTTTTGCTTTTTATACAACGATTTTTAAAGTGAAAACTTTCTTTTGTCTGTCAGTTTAGAAAACACATATATAGACAGTGACATTTCTAGTTTGAGGTATATTTGAAGGGATTATGCGATTTTCGTCGGTATAAGTACTTCTTAAGACTATTAAAGCACAATAGAACCCAAATCAATCCCCGTAAAATACCGACTGTTCCCCTTTTAAATAAATGAATTGCATATTTACCAGACGGTGAAATTTGATTTACATGAAAACTTATGAGTTATTGCCCTTTTGTCTTAAACAAGTTCAATTTTTAGTCCGTAAGCACTCTTGAAGGCACAATTCTTTACAGATTTTGACGAAACTTGGTGAAATTGCTTATGACCCATGGATAAACCATTGAAAATGATTTTGACAACTTGGTCATATCATTCAGTATCGCCCCAAAAAGTTCAAAAGAAATGTATGAATGAAGGTTGAATATTTCATACTGGTGATTGTTACTGTACTGCTAAATATTTTTATTAATATTAAAGCTGACAGTGGGCGTATATTACCTTGCCTGGAGAGCTATCTTAAAATCTTTCATTTCGTGTTGGGGAAATTTTTTTTGTTATATTTCCATACAAAACTGTACTTATAAACTAGTACTGAACTATAGAGGTAAATTATAACACAATATTTTATTAGATATATTTTATATTCATATAGATAGAAATACACAATAATATTCAAGTCAGACAGCCTGTAAAATAAAATAAACACTACCATACAAATACTATTACACTCTTCCTTAGTCATTCTGATACTATTCATCTAATGTTTACCACGCTAGCCTCACATGTTCTTTTACCACTCTAACCACAGCTGTTCATTTACCACTCTAACCTCAGATGTTCTTTAAATACTCTAACCACAGATGTTCTTTTACCACTTTAACCATAAATGTTCTTTTGCCACTTTAACCATAAATGTTCTTTTGCCACTCTAACCATAGATGTTCTTTACCACTCTAACCACAGATGTTCTTTTACCACGCTAACCTCAGATGTTCATTTACCACTCTAACCACAAATGTTCTTTTACCACTCTAACCATAGATGTTCTTTTACCACTGTAACCACAGATGTTCTATTACCACCCTTACCTCAGATGTTCATTCACCAGTCTAGCCACAGATGTTTTTACACCACTCTAACCTAAAAATGGTCTTTTACCACTCTAAATGTTCTTTCATAAGTCTAGCCTAAACTTACAGGCCAGGTCTTGTTCAGTTTTTAGTGGAGAGTTCAGATCCAAGGTCGCCAGACGAGATTGTTAATGCTACCATTCTGAATCTGTATATCGACATTAACTAATCTATTATAACACTGTATACTTTCTGTTGGTGATTGTAGGTTGATATTTTTATGTGGTCGTCTTGTTAGATATTTTAATACATTCTGTCGACTAGATTCAGGTAAATTAAAACATGATAAAAATGAGTTAATTTCTAATAAACATCTTGAATAACCTTCTTGATAAATAATATCCATTGCTATTTCACGTTTTCTTTTTATTTCTTGGATGGTGGTTATGGTTTTTTCTAAAATTTCTGTTTTTTCTAATTTCTGATTATCAGCTTCCTATAAAAAAAAATATCATGAAATGATGAGAACTGATTTTAACTCTATGTTACTTGATCTGTATTCCCTGTGACGTTATAGGGCCGTAACAAGAATGATAAAAAATGTTTAAATCAAACCATAGCATACAAGATTAATGAGAGCTAGTGAATAAGTGGTATATGGTTTGTTAGAGAGCTAGAGAATTAGTGGTATATGGTATGTTAGAGAGCTATAGAATTAGTGGTATATGGTTTGTTAGAGAGCTAGAGAATTAGTGG